GCAGTGGGCACCGTGAGTATCGAGCGACTCCCCTCCATCCACCGTGTGATCGCTTCATTCCGCCATTGCGCAATTTGATGCTGTCTATCTTAATAACTTCTTCTCTCTACTCTTGCTCTCTCTCTGCTTCTCGTAGTGTTTCTAATTGGACAGGGCCGGATTAGACATGGTGAGCCTTAAGCTATGGGAAAGTCGTGGAGGCACCATTTGCAGTTTTTACTAGAGAAAAGGCCCGTGCCACAACTGAACTTGGCAAGAATACCGCCATGATGCATAACAAAACCGTGCGGGTTAGGGGGAAGGGTTGCTCCTTTAGAACTTTAAAAATATAACAAATGGAAAAAAACCGAGATTTTGATAAGCACATTTAGAATGGGAGGCCATAACCTGTAGTTTACGACAGCGACAGGTATATGCACACGACATGCAACTACGGATCGATCGTAGTTTATGACCCCGGGCCTCATTTTCGAAAATGTGGGGGTGGGGTGAAGACGTGAAAACCTACATGGTTATTCTTCGTGGTCTTGGCTGTTCATAACTACCAGGAAATGTATCCAACTGTAGGCGAGATAGGCATATATTGGGGAGTGTATAATTGGAGATTGAATAAGCGCCAAAAAACTAGTTCGGTTCATTTTTACGTCGCGCTAAGTTGCATTATAATTATTACAGATCATATAAGCATTCGCGTATTAACGTAGCATTGTACCCCGCTATTACAGCCCTTCAGCCATCGTAGCCAGGAAGCAGATAATCCGACTTTTATGTCCACTATAAACCAAAAAAATGGCTATACATAAAAATTTATGGCAATAACTAATGTTGCGCAGGTTTTATACGCTCATCACGTGTGCGTGTGCACGATAGCATGATTGCATTGCTATTCAAGAGAGTAGGCATTATGCCATAGATGATGCTGACTTGCCAGAGGCTTTTATCACAGTGGACCAGTAGTCATAACTCTAACATTTCCTTTACTCGGTAGGCCTACCAGGGCCTACCAGCCATATCCCTGTAATCATTTTCTAACCAATTCCCGAGATCTTCCCTAATTTCCCTACGAACCCTTCCCTGCCACATAATGATATGCTTCAGTAGTGATTGTATTTTCAGCCAGTAGCGCCTGTGCCGTAGAAAACGGTGGCTGTGAGCAAGTGTGTGGAACCCGACAGAACGGCGTGCAGTGTTCCTGCTCTCAAGGCTTTACGCTGTTCACTGGAAACGGAACTGAAGGTCACTTCCTGTCCGAAGGCGAGTCCGGACATGCAGCGGAAGACAAGTACAGAATCGGAAAGTCTTGCGTTCGTAAGTATACACGCGCATGTTGAATCGTGTGTTGTGTCTTATTGCCAGTAGATGGCGCGACTGCGGCTTAGCGCACAATATGATCATTTGAGAATCAGGGATTTTGACATGAAACTTATAATACTAGTAACACTCACACACAGCGATTTTATTATGGTAAATATATAGAGCTATTATTATGACCATACAAGCGTAACTGAGTATAAGCAGTTAATCAAATGCGAACATCAATGTAAGGTGCCTCCAAGTTTTATTTTCAAGTTCTTCAATTACTGAATTAGTGAAAAAATATTGCTCCTTGATTCATCAATTTCATGATTGTAATTACTTCAATGTATAGCCATATATGATTGTAATGTATATGATCTAAGACTAAGATAGCTTGCGGCAACTTTACGCGGGCTATAGTACTAGAGCTAAGACTTATAGTAATGCACTGGAAATGGTCTTTGCCATAATTAGTACGCTGGCGTAATTACTAATTAGTAAATGACATTGTCTGTTTGTCATTACCGGTACTACGGAGTACGGTACTGAGCTGGGTGGGCATGGTTGACAATGATCTCAAGTCCCATTTCTTTTCATGCGGAGACATAGTACAGTTATAGACTTTATAGAGCCTGCTCGAACAAGTGCAAAATTCCCGCACTGATGAGTTTCCTAATGCTATGCTGGCACTGGCAGGTAAGAGCTGTGGATCGTCGCCATTCTTCCACCTCGACAATGGCGTCGTACTGGATCTGCAGCGGAACTACCGGTTCCGCGACAGACTACACTTTCACTGCAACGTCGGCTATACCCCGCTCAACCGTAACTACATAGAGTGCGGCAACAACGGAAGATGGATAGGAGAGGAACCCATCTGCAGAGCGGCGACCTGCGAGAACTACAAGCATGGGGAGAACGGCGTGGCCGTCTTCCCAACTACATCTAGGGTTTCGTACGGGCAGAAGGTGTGTATACGTCGATAGTTCTAGCACCTTACTATCTATTGCTCCACACAGAGTAATGTAGAGTGATGGATGCTATAGTGCTGGAGTTAGCAGCAAGAATGCAAGAGTTACCCAATAACTGAAATCATACCAGACTGGGAGTTAAGTGTTAACATGACCAGTTTTGCCCAGACAGGTTGAAGGGCATTTCACCAGATTTCACATTGCTTGTGCGACTACTATTAATTACTGTGCGATTCCCCTATAGGTATTCGTAGCTATTCAAGTATCTGTTTAACACACTTTGCCCATCTATTGAAATTATAACTATAGCATTGGGTTGGCGTAATATTTCGAGTCAATCAGGTCAACTCAATCGAATTGCGCGTTGCCGTGTGCATTTCTCTGTTGTTGCCATGCCGACGGTGCTTGTATTTCAGGTGAGGTTGACGTGCGTGGGCGATGGCTATGTACTCGGACTTGGCATGGCTACCAGCATCGAGCGTCAGTGTGTGTACGACCCTCAGCCGGGCTTACCGGACTACAGGCTTGATGGTCCCACTCCGGAATGCCATCGTAAGTTTGTTCTAGTGGTAGAGAAATGCGTGGGAGTGATTAAATTTGATCGTTGAGCCACGAGTAGGTTCTTTTACACGTGTCATTAATGTTACTGGGTGTTGCGTATGTGTGCGTGCGTGCGTGCGTGTGTGTGAAGATGTGTTGCATGTATGACGAATACGTAGTGTAACTGTGCCCATTTCAGCAATCGACTGTGGACCACCCAACATTCCTTACGGTATCTTTACCGGATTGCGAGGCACCCAAGTGGGATCTACCTTCAGACTTCGATGCCAAGACAACCATCCGCTAAGAGGTCAAAGTTCAAATGGGGATCCAATGGTGACCTGTCTAACGAGTGGCAAGTGGGACTATGGAACTTTACAGTGTGCAGGTAAGGTGCTCTTTTACGATATTTGTCAGCATGCTTAGATCACAGTGGATGCCCCCGCGTTACAAACATCTAAACTTGCGAACGACGATCGATTATCCACTCTAATTTACCCCCTAACTTATCCCCTCCCAGTAACTTTACCGGTGTAGCCGCTTTGCTCCTGCTACAGCCCCTGCAGTGGGAGCGAAGGGGCTACACTAGCAGAGCTACTGGAAGAGGGGCGGAAAAGTTACATATATAGCAGTATATCTCGGTACCGGTTATGTATGTAACCCGGGAATTCTGTCTAGAGGCAGAATTACCAGAATCGTGGCAATGAGATGCGAAGTTACTCGAAGAGGGAGTGGAAAATTTACATGTGTAGCTGCTGTCTGTGTAAATCGCACGTACAACACTGCATCGATCGCGATTCACATCGATCGCAATTCATGTCGATCGCAATATACATTGATTGCAGGCTCCGGTTGCCAGGATCCCGGTGTTCCCAGAGGAGGACTCCGCTTTGCAGCTTCCTACGATCTTGGTAGCATCGCCTACTTCAAGTGCAACGAACCTGGCTTCAGTCCCATGCCGGCCGTCATACAGTGCATGTCCGTGATCACCGCTAACGGTCCGGTGCCCGTGTGGAACGACACGAGACTTCCCACCTGCGTCGGTACGTCCTGTTCTTCATCATGAACGTGTTAGTTACATTGGTGTTAACTGCCCGTCTGTAGACTGATTTTTGTCTTGAGAAAAATTCTGAAAAAAACCAATAAGTAGTTAGCAACACGGTAAATCTTGCTCCTGCATTAGGTCTTGAATGCCGGTATTAACAGATCGTGCGTAGAGGTGTGGGAAGCAGGGTTTTCAGTTTCGATCTGAACGAAACCAGAGTCATGCGTTTGGGAACCTTCAGGATCGATCTTTCACTGTACAACTGTGCTTTCCGGTGCACTATATCGCAATGATCCAGCACTAACCATTCAGATTCAGATCCTTGCTATCTCTCCCAAATGACAAGTTGCCCGCACACGTCTCTCATCTCTCATCTCGACCGTTCTCCATCGTTTCACCTCGATAGTTATCCTCCTCTTCGTGTTAGCGCCTCTTCGTGTAATTCACGAGTGTAAATAAAGTAATTTGAATTTGAATCGAATGGAATTCTTGCAGGAACCGTCCCGCCCCGCTGGAGGAACTGCCCGGAGCAGGAGGTGTTCGCGGACCGGCTGGGCATCGTTGACTACATCCCGCCGTCGGTGGTGGCGGTTGTCGGCCGGTCGTACAACCGCACGGTGTTCCCGCCCGTGTTCCCGCCGCAGCTGATGCGCGAGCAGATCGACATCGTCTACAGCGTGCAGGACGAGTACAGCAATGCAGCCTCCTGCACCGTGATGGTCCGCTTCAGAGGTAAAGCATTGCGGCGCGATCCTCCGTGTGTATATATATATCGTATATATATATATATATATATATATTGTATATATGCGATCGTCGCATATATATATATATAATAAGAGTACATAATACAGATCTCTATTATGTACTCTTGATACATATATATATATTGTCTGTTTCAGAGGTAGAGATACTGAATTAATATGGCATGCATTGCTGATTAATTATGCATTACTAATATATTACTATGGTATAGTTTACTGATAGCAAATTAGCGTAGATAAGAGAAGAGAGATGCTAGGTAGATAAACGAAATAGGTAAGAGAATTGTCTCTTATCTTTTTTATGCTAACAGCAATGTAATTGCTTGTGTTAGTTTAGGTCTGAAGGTAATGTGTGGTGATCTGATGATTGTGGTTATACCTCAGTATTACCTATGGCATTTATAGTTCCCAATAATGTGACTTGTTTGCATTAGTTTCACTTTCTTACGTTGTGATTTCATATGTTGACCTTCGCTGGCCTTGTTCTGGCATCATCTGGTTAATTTGATTTATTTACACTAGATTTATTAATTGTGCAATTTAGTTGAAATCTATACCATCATCTAACTACTGATCATTACAAACCTGCTTTTGAAAGTTCAGTATCAGTACATTGCCCTATATAATTAATTTACATATATGGCAGTAATTTCTAAACATAAATTATATTAAGAAATTTACTACATTTAAGTATGTGTACCTGCGTGCATGCTTAATTGCATGCATGCACGTATGTATAGTGTAATTACATCTAATTGAATTCAAACTATTAAAATCATTCAAAACAATTTAAGTACTGTTTATTATTTATTGATACTGAGTACACTGCAATTATATTTTACTGTCGTTATAGTAGTTAAATGCGTTTTTTTCACAATTGTGGTTTGCGTTTTCAGATCAGATTCCGCCGGCCGTGGTGTGCCCACCTTCGCTGGTACAACCACTCGTGTCGACTGAGCCATATACACTGACGTTTGGCGAGCGTAACTATCCACCAGTAGCTTTGAATGATGACTCTGGCCAACAAGTCCAGCTTAGGTTCGTACTGCCTATAGTCGTACTGCCTATAGTCCTATTATGTAGTATAGTCCTATAGTCCCATTAGGTAGTATAGTCCTATAGTCCTATTAGGTATAGTCCTATTAGGAGTTCCTATTAGGAGTTCCTATAGGTATAGTCCTATTAGATAGTCCTATAATCCTATAGTCCTATACTGCCTATTAGGTAGTACTGACTATAGTCGACCACACTATATGGTGCCATTGCAAACCACAGCAATGACATCTACAGACGGGTTTCCATTAATGAAAGGGGCCATATTCATGTAATCTAAAATCTACCCAGAGTCCCATTGTTGTAAAATAAACTTATGTCTGTTGCATCCATGCTCTGGTTGTGATACGTTTCAGTGTAGGTAAAATGATGTCGGGTGGCTATATGAACCAGTTTTTAAGTTTTTAACTTATCTCACATTTCTGCTCAATTCTTCATTTTGCTCCCACGGTCCTATATGCAATTAGTCTCATATTTACATACCTGTTTGCAAGAAATTGCCCATTTGTAAAATTGGTGCTTATGCCCGGCGCACACGTGAGTTATTTTACTCAAGTAAAATGACGCATGAGTCATTTTACTCACGTGGGCGGCGGATTTTTGTTGAGTAATTTGACGCATGCGTCATTTTACTCACGTGTCTTTTGTGTGTATTTTCGTTTAGTAATTTGACTCGTGCGTTATTTTACTTGAGTAAAATAACTCACGTGTGCGCCGGGCATAAGCACCAATTTTATCTGTCGAAAATTACACCTCTCTATGACGACGAACAGAATTCTGTAGATTAATACTAGTTTGCATGTCACAGTAGTATAGTAGTATAATCACATTCAGTCAGGGACGCGGTGTCAATGTTGTTGTTTAGGTACGAGCCGTCGTCGGTGACGGGACAGGGAGAGAACCTGTACACGGTTAACATCACGGCGATCGACGCGGCTGGCAATCAGGACGAGTGCACTTTCCATGTTTACGTGCAAGGTGAGTGTGTGTCTTAGCACTCGTTACGATTAAACTACATGTCACTGCATGCCCTCTCAATGCACTGCAGGTGACGACTCGCTGAAAAGATCATTTACTCATTAGATTTACTAAATTATTATTCATTTCTTTTTAATTAAAATAATTACTGATTATTGGCGGGTACGTGATTCTCTACTGCGGCGAAATAAATATGATTACGTGACAAAAATCAGTTGTACACATGATAAATCTCAATCTCCTGCCCCCTGCCCCACAGCCCCTGCAAGGAGGTTCAATCAGTCTATCAATTTCGAAATTTAGGAACAGTTGCGCACATACTCGACCATGCTGCCACCAGCGACGGCTCACACGTTCTATCGTTTCTCTTCGACCCACTGCCGCTTGCGACAGCTCGCACATTCTCTCTTTCTTGTTTCTCCAATCGGTTTATCGATTTCGACATTTAAGAACAGTAACTCAAACGACATCCGCTGCCGCTACCACCGCCTCACAGTCTCTTTCTCTCTCTCACTCACTCTTGTTTCTCTACATCGTCATGTAGCCGCACCATGCACGGTTGCATCGGCACCTCGCTCGCTGCACAGCACGCGTAGCTGCGAGGAGACGGGTGGAGAGTTCCGCTGCACGCTCGCGTGCGACGACGGATACGTGTTCCCCGACACGAAGGAGGCGCGGCGGACGTACGCATGCGCTGACGCGTCGCCGTGGTTACCTCCGCCGCCGGCCCCCGACTGCATCGTCCGAGAAGGTTTGAGCGCATATATGTAGTATCTTATACCGTATTGAGAGCTAATATAATGTATTATTAGCTTGTAACACATGTATTATTTGCTAGTGATACATTTATTATGAGCTAATAGCTTTAGTATTCGATTCACGGACATAATCTAAGTCATAGCCTTACAGTGACATGAATATTTTTATGATCAAACATTTTTTATTTCCATCCGTCAACACTAGATGGCGCCCTGGGTCAGCAGTTCCAGCTGACTGCCAACTTCACGTATCAGGCAGCCTCTTCGATAGGCGCACACTGCCCCAAGCTCTACCAG